AAAAAAACAAACAAACCACCACCTCTACATGTTGCAGGGAGAACACTGTGAATTTCACAATAGCAACCAAGTAACTATTTTGCCATCTTTTAAACATACGTCTCAGGAGAAGAAATGGGAAATGATGGGTGTGTTATTTTAACGTCTATGCATTCTAGACTAGGTCTGTGGGGGTTTTTTGTTTGCTTGTAGAAGGTTCTGAGTGATGACCGGCTGGTATTTTATAAACACTCAATACTTCGGGCAAAGACAATAGAAGCTGCTAGTAGTGAGGCCGTTTGGTTGGAATATGTGAGAAAACAGAGGTCAAATCAAATCTTTCCAGAGGCCTATATCTTGCAGCTTATATGTATCTTTCTGTAACTTAAAGAAAAGCAGCTAAGAATGTTTTATATACAAGTAATTTATTCAACTTTGATGTTTAATTGAATCACCAATAGAGAGAGAACCAATTAATTATAAAATATTTGTCCCAGCCCTGCTCTCCACCTATACTTTATGTATATATCTATTTCTAGATATCGCTCTCTTTGTCACTAAAGAGGAAGATACCTACATATAAATATAAATCTCTATATTGTCACCAAACCGTGACCTGGTGTGTAGAGCTATCTTTCTCCTTTTTCTTCCTCTTTTTTTTTTTTTTTTTAATGTGGTGTCTCCGTGGAAATATTTAGTGGTTCTTGTTTTGTAGTTTGTTATAACAAGTCATTGCTTTAAAACTTTCATTGCATCTTGGCTGATTTCGAAGTGATGCCTAGGTATCAGTGTTAAAAGTTTTGTTTGTGAATCATGTGACCAGCTTCTCTCGACATGACATGGAAAGTCTCTTGTATTACAGTGTATTTAATAAAAATGATGTCTTACAATAAACAATGTCATCCAGAGGAAAGATAAAATTAATACTTTAAAAAACTTAAAAATTTCATGAAGTGTTGTGCACTATTTTCTTTTGTTTGAATGCCTTTGTTTACCTCCATTCTTTTTGAAAAAGATTAAATTAAGGAACAATTTGGAATGCTTACAAACATGACGTATTTGCACTCTAAAACCCTGAATAAAAAACAGGTCAC